GTGTGTGTGTGTGTGTGTGTGTGTGTGTGTGTGTGTGTGTGTGTGTGTGTGTGTGTGTGTGTGTATGTGTACGTGCCGACGCGTGTGCGAGTGTGCGTGTGTGCTTGAGTGCGCGCGCGCGTGTTAGTGTGCGTGTGTGCGAGTGTTTGTGTATGTATGTGTTTGTGTATGTATGTATGTATGTATGTATGTATGTATGTATGTATGTGTGTGTGCGTGCGTGCGTGCGTGGGTACGCGTGTTTATGTGTGAATGTGGAGCTTCTCACTGCGGGTACTAGCCGTGGGCCATGAGTGGGCTAGTTCTAGTGGCTTTCGCTTATCCTAAAATGATATTCCAATTTCGTCGAATAGTGTGTGTAACCTGCACTTAGACAGTGCATCCACGGACGGTGCATGTTATTTCGCCCCGCATTGTTGACAGTTCGGCACTCTTTAACGTCTATATTCTCACTTAGATCTGACACTCAGCCGTCGTGAGAGCGATTGAGAAACGCTACCAGAAAGTCCGTCCGATTACAGGCGATATCGCGTGGGCAAGACAACATTTCACGACGACAGTAAAAGCACACAGGAATTTATAACGCGCGCCGTTTTGCGTGTTGTATATATTTCGTTTTACTTGCCCGTCCAAAGAGCGAGCTCATGCATTTATTGTTAGTTTACTACACGCGCGGTGTCACGCAATTACGCTATTATAGTGTTAATAAGATATATATAATGGCTGGGAAAAGTGCGTCGATGAATCAGTAACCTTGGTAACTCTCATCCCACCTAGCAACCGGCGAATCAGAATGAACGTCCCGACAGCAGGCAGACGTTATAATAGCTAGGTCATTATATATGAGGCAGTTAACACGACGTGACAAGCGTTATATCCACACACACGCACATATATATATATATGCATGACATTAGGTCACGTAGGAAGCACGTTCACAGCTATATCGAGATCCTACTATCTCCTCCGGACTCTCACTCCGGACATTATGTTTGACTTTCATATGAGATGTTTGACATACGAAATGGGAGCATGATCATAACCTGACGTCAAAAAATGGGAGCCTGATCTACACGATGGGGGCCTGCTCATGATGTGACGTCACGATGAAGGTTTACCCACGCAGATGGGTCTGTGCGTCGTTACACGACAACGATGAGAAAGAGCAGTGGCGTTCATTAATGCGATTACCGTTGCAACTTCAAAATCAGCTAAAAAAATCTCAAATCTGTTACAAACGTTCAACTATTCGCATACTTACTCTTCCTTGTCGAAGTTTTGCACGAAGTTACTCGGTATGTAGCCATCCTGTTGCGTAACGAGATGCTTCGCGTACCACCAGTCGCGGTTACTATGGCAACAAACAGACGAAAGTTAGTATGGCGCGATATACGATTTTTCGAATGAAATACAACAACGGCCTACTAGCGATATAGTGCTCTGATTGGTCGCAAGGAGAGCTAACACTGAATTACATCGTTATTCGGTCAATGCTTGCATACATCTAACATGTGTAACATCACTCTCTGCTTGAATAATATTACCGTTGCCCGGGGTGCTACTGGACGGGATATACAGACAAAATCTAATCAATAAATTTAATTCACTGCGCTGGAAAAAGTTGGTCATTACCGAATGTTGAAAATGTAGGTTGGATCGCCGTTGAGAAAAAAAACTAGGTTATATTAACATCACTATAGACGGAGAAACATGGCGTAGGCCCTACAGGCATATACTACCATGAAATCGCGTGTAACATGAAAGTGATTTCACCATCTGCAATTGTAATTTGGTAGTACTATGAATAAAGTAATTAACGGCGTTGTCACTAAGCAGTCGGCAGATTACTATGGAGTGTTTACAAATACTCTGATAAACAATAAATAATGCGAACAAACGCAACTAACATGGTCGTGTTAATGTCACCCAGAAAACCGCAAAAGATCTGGTTTACATAACACTACCATGCAAGATACAACGAGAAAGAGAGAGAGAGCGAGAGATAGAAGAGGAGGGAGTGAAAAATGTGCATGCGACAGGAAGCGAGAAAGGGAAAATATCGACGTTTACTGGGTGTGGAATAAATTATATATAGTTATAGTGACGAGGAACCTTAACTACTGACTAAAAGAACGACACAAACAAGACACAGGACGACTGACACATATACCTACCTACCTACACGCGCTCACGTACACGTTTGCGTGGGCGATTTATCAGCGAGACCACAAAGGAACGAGAGTAAGATGTGTTTGTGTACAGGACGAATCAAAATAAAAGAAAAAACATCCAGGAAAGCATTGGAAAAACGGGATAAAGTACCGAACACCCGCTGGAGGGATTCTAGGGATATCATATACCCCCCACACACACAAACACACACGCAGAGAAAAGAGCCAAAGGCTTTAACTCGGGTACACACTTCACGCAGGGAGCTTACGGGAAGGATACGCGGACTATAGCTTCCCTGCACGGAGGGGGGGGGGATAATACCTTAACAGTTTCATGCGCTTTCTGCGCATGGGTGGCACGGGCGTCGGGGAAGCAGGGTTCCTAGTGTGGCGATTCTCCTCGCCCGAGTCACTGCGCAGCTTCTGATGTTGATGATGTGGATGTTGAGACGTGGCGTTCGTCTGCGGCTTCCCCCCATCGCCGCCGCCGCCGCCGCCGCCGCCGCCGTATTTCTTCACGCCGCTCGGCCGATATCGGCTGCTGGGTTTCGCCGTCTCGCCGGCGTCCGCATCGCGTGTTATGAACGACCGCACGCGGGTCAGCGACGTCTTCGACCAGTTTCGGACGCGGTCGCCGAGCGCCGACGCACTGCGCTCTAACCTCGGCATCGTTCACGCACGCACGCAGGAACGCACGCACACATGCACGCACGCACGTGCGCGGGAAAAACGTCGCTCTGACTGTCGCGCGCACAGCAGTACCGACGAAATGCAATCTCAGCGACGGATTTCTTTGCGTTGTTGTCCTTCTGCGTCGCCGACGACGAAGAGGTGGAGTTTTCACTTTCGAGCGCGTCGAGCACGTGACCGCGTCACGTGAGTGTCGGTCGCAGACGAACACTGCGCGATATATATATCTGCACAAAAGATTGCGCTGTGAGAAGGAGGAGGGTATAGCGTATACGTAGTAGTAGTGGTGGCGGTGTAGCCCTGAGGCTATAATATTATATATAGTGGCGCATGGTGTTGCGCACGCAGCGTGAATCATGCTGTGCTCGCCTGTAATCATCGGCTGCGATCAGACCGCCTGGCGGCGCGTCGAGAGATGCGCGGAGAGACATTCCGCTCCAGTAACGACTCATATCAACAGATTTGTGTTAGAAGCGCGATTGATAGCATCTGAATATAATGCTAGTTAACAGCGGAGAGGGAGGGGGATGTAATAGGATTACGCTTTAAACCGCAGGCGTGCCCCGAAGAAGGTGCAATGATCCTCACAGAGAGAAAGTGTTCTCTGTAGATTTGTCGCGCGGGATACTCTTGACATTTCACGCCCGCGCGCGCTGGTAGTTGAATTGTTATTGTTATTGTTAGTGTTATTGTTATTCCCACAAAACGTCCCATCCGACAGACGCTAAAGTGTTAATTTTTATTTAATTCGTACGCGTTCTGATTAAAATGATTAGGAACCCTAACGCATGCACGCATACACGCACGCACGCACGCACACACGCACGCACGCGCTGATTGATGTATGTAGATGTATGTAGATGGATGTATTGTTATTGTCATTTCTTAAAGATATGTGCTACACCTGACAGGCAATACCGATTTACTTTCGTACGCACAACAATCAACGCCGTTTTTTTAAAATTCATAATTATTATTAACGCGTTTATAACGAAGACAAATCGCCCGAGCGCGATCCTCTCGCTCGCACCTCGGTCATCATTCTACATGATCTATTCTCTTGTCGTTTTTTACGAGCGCTGCCTGGAGACAAACATGTTTTGTCGCGAGCGTCGGCGACATACACTCATTAGCGCTGTACTGGGTCAACATCTCCGACCGACTCCGGGCTCACTAATGAGCGACGTATAATATAGTGCTAACGGCGGAAGCATGCACCCGAGCAAGCGACATCGAAACCCCACGCCCTACATTCACGCACGCAGCGTGCGGTGAGCCAGCAACCAACGAGCGTCTGCGGGACCTTAGCAACGGACAAAGATGGCCGGCGCGCGTTGGCGACGTTGGAGCGCGTCCTTCGCGCGCATTACGTGCGCATTACCCGGCCGTGTCCGAAACACTAGGTGTGCAATAATTACCTGCGTGTACGGCGGCAGCGGCGGCGGTAGTTCGGTCGCCTGGTGACGAACAAGGATTCGCGTTTGTTCGCGGGAACTAGCGCCTGTCTAATGCTCGGCTCGCGGCAACCGACAACAACCGTGTTGACACATCTCTACATTTTCATGCGGATGCTTTCCCAAGCGCTCAGCACCGCCGCTAGAAGCACGGTGGCAATCAGCAGCAGTAGTAGCATTAGCAGCAGCAAAAGCAACAACTACAACAACAGCAGTAGTAATAGCGGTAGCAACAACATCAGCAGAAGCAGCAGCAGCATCA